AAAACAATATTATTAGAATGTTAGTTCTGAACAGGGTTTGAGATCAGCTTCACCCAGAGATCCACACAGCACACCACAGGTGATTTTTGCTGCTGTCAAATCAAGTTCTTGAGGTGGGATTCTAAAACAGGAATAGAAACCAGTGCTCAGCACCTTCTCATGGCAATTAAGCTAAAAAAAAAATTACATTTCAAGTGAACATTACTGTGGATAAATAGTAATGATGGATAAATACGGAAATAGCTGTCTTCAACATGGAGAGTAGCTGAAAAACTTTCTAGTGAAGCTGAAGCAATTAGATAGGCTTTAAGGTGTTTTCCACCCCAAACCATCTAATGTTTCTGTTATTGTAAGTCAAACTAGCATAGAGAAATAAAATAGAAGTCTGGAAGAGGAACTAATTGAATGTAATGTCAGAGCATGAGTTCTTAGTTGAACTTGTGAAACCATGCCCACACTACTTAAGAGGTATATTAAAAAAAAAAAAAAAAATCGTGCCTCATAGTATGGTGCCTAGGCAGCACATTTAACCACTGAGTCATAACTGCCCTTGAAATTTAAAGATATCCTGTGTGCTATAATGAAAAATAGTGTGGAGTTGCACTTCTTCCACATCTGAGAAAGCATTTTTAAATATCAAACTTTACAGCAGTCCATCTCATTCCTAAGCACAGTGATAGTGAGACATGCTCTAAGTAATAATTGTTTCTGCATCTGTCACTATGAAGATTAAGAAGACTAATGTCATATAAATWCTGGGTTAAAACCAAAGCTAATTTTATGCTGAGGTATCTACAGTGGTGTATGAAAAACGTGCCAAAACAAAACTGGCCAGTTGCAAAGTTGGTGTCTGCAGCATAAGGAAAATCCTTTCTTTTTTTCCCCCCTTTTTCCCTTTCTTTTCCAATTTTTTTTTTAACATGCTTACACCGTATTATAAACTACCTGATCTGAGGGTGAAACCAGTCCACATCAGATACACCTGGATGCACAACAAATAAACACAGGTGGCAATGTAAGACAATTCTGAATTGGCAGGACCAATTAGTGGTTTGGTTAATTGAACTGTATTAGGCAACATGACAAYCCCACTGAAACCAGGAAAGGGACTCAGCCAGATCAGTTCATCACTCCAGCAGCAATTCTGTTTGAGTAAACTGACCAGTTTGGGAGCTGTGTRCCTGTGTCCTCCTGGTTCCTCTGGGAATTTCAGACACACATCCCAATAGAAGGCTAGACTTGCTTTTGGAGCAAGAGGGATAAAATTAATCTGAGACCATGTCAAGAGCGTGTTGATCTCTTTATTTAAGCCTGCTTTCCAGGCTGCTTCTGTACTCTCTCTGAACATCTTCTTCTCATCCTTTCTGACAAAATAAAAGCCAGGTGAGAGCCAGCTCAGCTTGTGTGAAGCTTGTCAGGTCTGTGCTGTGCCAGTGTCAAACACCAACGCCCAACACTGGATTTTCCAGGAAAAAACGAGCAGCCAGTGTCAGCTGCCAGCATTGCATCTCTGTCCAACAGCAGGGATTAAGACAGTGGCTGAAAATGAGTCAGTAGGATCCCGAGCTGACGGTCCCTGGTGCTAATTTAAGTGCCGGTTAATTACATCTGTCACATCAGCAGGGTAGGATTGCTCTCCCGGAGAACCTCCCCCCTGCATGCTGTTGTGCTTCTCCAAGCTCAGGGATGCTGACTTGAGGCTGTACCCAAAAGATTTGTCTCCCACTCTTGGCCTAGGGACAACTTCTATGGCAAAATCAAAATCTTGACAAAAATATAGCCACTGAAGGAACGTGGGCCTGCAGCTTCAGTTAACCAGCTGTGGACATTTGCCATTTTTTATTTTTAACTTTTCTGGAGAAAGGAAAAGGAACACACCTGACAACTGAAACGCTCTGGAGTAGTCAGATGGAGCATCAAGAACATCCTGTTGGCAGCTGCCCTGGAGATACTTATATGCACTAATGAGATCCCTTCTCAGTCATCTCTAGACTAAACAGGACTCTTTCCCTGTGTGCATTCATTGCTGTGACCCTGTGTGCTCTGATGATACATTCCAATAATGTGGATTTTTTTCCATTATCTCTAGAGGTATTCTTTTGTCCACTGGAGTGGGTACCCAAAATCCATGATGCAGGGGAAGGGAGGAGAGATTTTCAGGCTGTTGTCCAATTTCTGGTGTGTTATGGAGGGCATGGAGTGAGGGAGGTGGGAGAGCTGCCACCCAGAATTGTAGGAAATCTGGAAAAAACCTGGGAAAGGTGGAGCACTGCTGGTGCTGGCTGTGGGGAGCCTGGTAGCTGAGGAGCCAACCAAGGACTGCTGGTGCCAACACATGGTGAGGAAGAGAGAACGTGACTGGAAAAAGGGCCATGTGGAGGTGGRGCAGCACTTGTCTGGGGCAAACATCCTTGTTCTGGGACACAACAAATAAAAGGTAGCATCAGTGGGTATTAAGTGTTTGGCCAAAGGTTGATCTGTAGCAGGGAGTGAGAGCACACAAGACCCTCAAAACCCACAGGACCCTGGACATCCCATCCCCCAGCTCTTTCCCTCCCTCCCTCCCTCCCTCCCTCCCTCTTAATTTTCTTTTTCTTTC